ACTTTGTATTGCGGGAAGCTGCCTCCTTGTCATTTCTGACTTACAGCAAAAAACAAAGCGAAAAAAATCTGCTGTGTGACAAGGTGTACAGCAAACAAGCTAAAAAACCCAGAACCAAGTTCACAAAATGCTAGCAAAATGATCAAATGGAACGTTCCCTTTGTGAAATGTTTTATTTGGACGTTCATTTATCGTATTTACAAGTTACTATTTATGTTTACTATGTATGTGAAGCGCATACTACACTTTTTTTGCGTAGTTTTCAGAACATTTTGTGAAACTTTTCTGAATGTTCCGAAACAAGTAGCAACATTAAAATGAACACCCAACTTTTATTATTTTGCAAACATTATGTGAACATTAGCCTACCTGTGAATGTTATTTTGGATGTCCTGGAAAACAGTGCAAATAGTAACGTTTAAATACGTAAGAGGAAAGTCCAACTAAAATTTAAAAAGTTCCATAAATTATATATAAATAACTTTTTGAGAACATTAAAGACTAGACAACTTTGATCAAACATTCTATTAACGTTACTGGAAGAACCTTGAGAGAACGTTCCCTATTAGCTGGGAATCTATCTACCAGTAGGCACGACTGCACTTTTTTTTAATCTCGTTTTTCATTTTATCCTACGTACATAATCTGAAATACAGTATATCAGGCACAGATTATGTGTGGGTCTGGTCTGTCGAAATATGTTGCACAGAAAAGGGGCCGGGGTCTTAAGAGTGCTTTTACATAAAAGCATATGCATTTCAATAGTGTTTTCAAATGTTTTAGTAACCATGAAAGGTTGATTTTTTTTTTTAAGCTTGTCAAAGTGCATAATTGTCAAAGTGTCACGATTGCATTCAGGGGTAACCATAGCAACAGAACACCACTATAGAGAATGTGGTTGATTAAAATATGCATTTCTGACTGAAATGTAATTTTGTTTTTTTAAATTTTAAAGCTGAAATTTTGTGCTATCATTTTAAAAATCTAAATACATAAACTGTAGTCCCACATTTTTTACATTTTTTTTTTTAAAAGGTCGTGGGTTCGATTCCCAGGGAACACACATACTGGTAAAAAATGTATAGCCTGAATGCACTGTAAGTCGCTTTGGATAAAAGCGTCTGCTAAATGCATAAATTATTAATTATTAAATTAAATACGTTGCACTGCAAATGTTGTCATAACCGTAAACGAAATGCAACTTTATGGGAAGCACTTTATGCATGCTGGGATTGAGAAGGGTTTGGTTTAAACCTGATAAAGACACTTTAAAATACTTTCAAATCAATTGCATTATATAAAAAAAAGCTAACTTACATTGTTAATATTTCAAGCAAATTAGGAGAATACAACAGATTTGATCTCATTGGTTGCAGTCTGATTATCTCATCCTCTGTAAACTGCAAATGCAATAAAATGTGTGAACTTTGAACATGCAACTCTATTTTAGATATGTTATCTGGCACTTAAACTCTGTTCTGCCTCATACTTCATACCTGGTATAAGTGAATGGACATGAAATACTGTATTTATGGCTATATACACAGCACATTTGAAAAGCACAACAAAGCTCTTGAGTTAAACTAATCACAAGATCAGGACAGAGTGAGCAGAGGCGGCAGAGTTTGGTACAGTACATCAGTGTTTATTCCATGCAGTTGCTCTGCCTTGATTTCACAAGTCACTCCTGTAGCACTGAAATCATAACACCATTCAAGATAAGGAAGGAAAAGGGCCGAGACATGAGTAAGAAACAAACTGGAGGAGGAAAATGAGCCCAGAGCTGAAGATATTCCGCACAAAAATAGTTCATTTTTAAATACCTGTATATGTAGTAGTTGACAAAGCAATTAAAAATGGTTAACGTGAATAAGGACAGATGATGGCAGGAGAAACGGTACGGTTCATACTTTCAATTCTCTGTGATACAGCCAAAGAACTGTATGACACTGGAATTATCTTTACAACCAGAACATGTTTGTGTCATTTTATTACAATGATTAAATGTGAGCCAATTATCTCTAGCTAGAAACAATGGTCTATGAGAATGAACACATGAAAAGTGTTCAGATGTAATAAATGTCCAGATATTTTCCCTCCTCGTTTTCCAAAATAGCGTTCAGGTGAAGAAAATATGGAAGCTTGTTTCTGCCACATGAAAAATTCAGATTTTTTTTTTTACCTCACAATTCTGACTTTTTTTTAATCAAAATTCTGAGAAAAAATTGCAATATATAAATTCAATTCCGAGAAGAAAGTTACAATAGCAAGAGAAACTCAGAATTCAAGAGTTTATATCTTGCTATTCTGACTTCTTTTAGTTTTTTACATCTTGAAATAATTTTTTTTTCAAATCATAATATATATATATTTTGTTCTAAATTTGAAAGTTTATATCTTGGAATTTTTTGTTTATATCTCCCATTTCTGACTTTTTTCTCAATTCTTTGTTTATATCTCGCAATTATGTTTTTTTCTGCTATAAAATAAGTAAAATAGAAAAGGTATTTGTGTTTATATTTCATGGCAGAAATGGGCTTCCATAAGAAAATGACCAAATGTCCATTTCTGAGAGAAGTATTCCTTTAAGATGCCATCTCACCTCATCAGTAATACTTCTGAAGACAATTCTAACATACATGAGACAATTATGAGATGAAGAAACACAGAAATTAACAGCTAGGGCTTCAAAATAAATTAATGATCCTGTAGACCAGCTACAAAAATAAGAAAGACATTTTTAAATTAAATTAAAATCAAAATCATAATTTACAGGATTTGTGGAGACTTCATACAATATCATACTTCATACATCACTCACTAAAAACCTTTAGAGGAACACGTAAACGGAGAGAATGAGGTTGGTGCGTGTTTTCGGTTCTCCTTCGTTACAATTAGTTCGCTTCATCTAAACACACCTTGCGTTTTTAGCACGTTACCATCACACTGAACAGAAATGACAAAAATTATACAGTAATAATGGCTTATTTTGCCCTTGTAGACATGAAGTCAACATGAAAAGCTGTTCACAACCCATTTTGCTTCTGTAATCTTTAATATTCCTTGGTGAAACTGGATTTTTATCCATCAGAAATGGATTGAATAGTTAAAAATGGGCGCTATGTACCAGAACGGAGATGACTAAACTTGACAAAAAAGTTTTTTTTTTGTTCATTTGCTGCAAACTCACAGCTTTTCTCATGAACTCAATGATACTGTTGTTTTAATGTGGAAGTACGTCTTGCAAGGCTTCTTTTAGTAAGATGTCGGAAAATAATAATAATACCATTCACAGTTTATTTCACATGCCGTATCCGGTTCAGAAACACATCCGGCTGCATTAACTGATGATGAACGAGGCATTTTAACTAGTACTATAACATCTATATCTAAACACAGGGTAAATATGAATGCAATCATTAAATACAGACATGCCAGACGATGCAGTGTCCCTTTCATAAGGAAAAGACAAATAAAAACACACTAGCGAGGGAGAATTTACACACAGACTACTTTCACACTGCAATTTAACCCAGTTTGTTTTGTTCACAAAAATGATGGATTTAAATGCAGTGCAAAATTGTTCCAAACGAACCACTTTTCCCTAGTGGAGACTCATTTGCACTATAAAGCACTGAACCTGAGCATAAACCAGCAAAAAGCACGGGACTTCTTCCATTTCTTTTTCTTGCTTTTTTTTTTTTTACTCAAAAAAACTCGATGTGTAAAAATAATGAACTCATGTCTGCAAAAATAGAGGTCTTTTACAAAGCACTGTATTTCCGCCTCGCGTCTGTCCAGCCTGCTAGACAGTCATCCTGAGCGAATGATTCTCAATAGCCTGAGCGCAAAACCACCGTTATTGCTGATTCACCCGCGGCCCTGAAACAAACGAGCTCTGTGCTTCTGCGGGCTCCTTGAACGGCACGCTATAAACACACAAACACCGGCAGAAACACACCATACACGTTACAGACGCTTCAGAGGGATGCTTAAACCAAAAATCACAATTCTGGCATCATTTGTGTTGTTCCGAACCCACGAGACTTTCTTGCATGGAACACAGACGTAATATTGTGATACTTTTATGGTCCTTTTTTTGGTCGTTTTGGAGCTTGACAGGTTGCATGGAAGAACAAAAGTCAAACAGCATGAAATTTACACTAGTTTTTTGGGTAAACGATCCCTTTAACTCTACAGGGACACTGCATCTCCAGAACATCATCACTGCCGCTCAAAAGACTGGAATAATTACGTTTTTTTTATGTTTTTGAAAGAAGTCTCTTCTGCTCACCAAGGCTACATTTATTTGATCAAAAATACAGCACAAATAGTGAAATATTTTTACAATTTAAAATAGCTGTTTTCTATGTGAATATCTGTTAAAATGTAATTTATTTCCGTGATCAAAGCTGAATTTTCAGCATAATTTCTCCAGTCTTCAGTGTCACATGATCTTCAGAAATCATTCTAATATGCTGATTTGCTGTACAAGAAACATTTCTGATTATTATCAATGCTGATAATATTTTTGTGGAAACCATAAGATAAAAAAGAAGAAATTAATACTTTTATTCAGCAAGGATGCATTAAATTGATCAAAAGTGACAGTAAAGACATTTTTAATGTTATAAAAGATTTCCATTTCAGATAAATGCTGTTCTTTTGAACTTTCTATTCATCAAAGAATCCTGAAAAAAGCTTGTTTTTGCAAAAATACCAGTCAAAATTGTTTTCAATATTGATAATAATGACAACCATTATTAATAATTAAGCACCAATAATAACGAAGCAGCAAATCTGCATATTAGACTGATTTCTGAAGGATCATGTGACACTGAAGACTGGAGTAATGATGCTGAAAATACAGCTTTGCATCACAGAAATAAATTACATTTTACAATATATTCCCAAAGAAAACAGTTATTTGAAATTGTAAAAATATTTCACAATTTTACTGATTTTACTGCATTTTTGATCAAATAAACGCAGCCTCAATGAGCAAAAGAGCCTTTTTTTTTTTCAAAAACATTAAAAATCTTCATCACTTCAATCTTTTGACCAGCAGTGCACATCGTCATTTTTCACGTCAACATAAAGACGACGGAAGAAAATAAACTCTTTGTGGTTGATGTCACACTTATGTCCGCAGCGTCTCTTCAAACACAGTCCTGAGATGAGGAAAAAAGCTGCTCGGGTTTGCTTCAAACACTGATTTGATCGTTAAAGACGTTGTTCCGCTAGAGCAGTTGTTCTTTGACTTCCTGTTCGTCCGTAGAGGTGAGCAGCAGCAGCAGTCTGATTGGCTGATCAAATGCCGACCAAGCAGGCATGCTGGGATATTTCCACACGTCTTGGAAGTCAAAAAGGGCAAAAGAAACAAGGAAGGACATCGTTCCTGCTGGTGCTCAAACTAAAGTTTCTGTAAACTCAGGAAGTAGCAGGTGGCCAGAGACACACGTCTGGCGGGTCCCATCATGGAATGGATCCTCAAGCTACGCACTTAACACTTTCGCTCACATTCCACTTCCTACAGACATATATACACACATTCTCGCAGACCGCAATCACCTTCTAACTAACTAACTGGTTAAAATCGAGTCGCCTTGAACACTTGAGCGCAAACGCTCTGAATTTATGCTCTGTTGTCGTTGTTATTCGAGTTCCTGATTTTGTTTTGCGTTTCCTCGGGCACGTAATAAAATAAATTATGCGTGTTACTCTAGCTACATTATCACTTCAGAGGAATCTGCCTGAGATGCTCAGAGAGAGAGAGGGGGATTATGGGAAGGGCTGATCAGACGGGTCAGGCGTGGATTATTGCCGTGTTTCCTCCGAAGGCTGGCGCTCACCAGGATGAAGGTGCACAGGGCTGTTTGTTCCTGATGGTGGCGTCGGAACATTCCGCATCCGACGTGTCGCAGTCGCAATCTCTGAAATGCAGCGGATTCTGAGAGAGAGAGAGATGAACAAACAGGAAGTTCCATTTAAGTTCATTATATAAGGCTAGGGTTGTGACGGTGAGGAAATTTTAAATAGCTTGTATTTACTTTCACTTTCAAATTAGCGGCAATTCGGCGTCAAGCAGTTGTTTGTTTTTAGTTTTCTTTCTTTTCCTCACTTTCCTTCACTTTTAAATAGCTTAAAAGCGCGTGCGCATTTTAATTTCACTTTCAAATTAGCGGCAAATCGGCAACATTCGACAACAAAATACAACTAGAACATTTTATTAACAAAACGAATAAAAATACACCATGCTATATGCCTAATATAAAATAACAAATAACTTACACAAAGTTTAGGTATACAAAACTGAAGATCAGTAAACACTGTGGAACCAAATAAATAAGAGAAATAATCTTTTTAATTAAGATTAAGCTTAAAGTAATGTCAATTGTTTTTTTATCTCTAATATTTTGGTGGGTCGTGAAATAGATTATACTTGTCTAGACGGGTCATGAAATGGAAAAGTTTGGGAACCCCTGTATTAAAGAATTCAAACAATTCAGCACATTACGTTCTCGTCAAAAACACTGATAATCATTCTTCAGTATAATGTCATCCGGATACATTATGATTCTGATCCTGGATGAATCATTTGCTTGAGTCGGATCTTTTCGATGAATTTGTTGATTCAGTTCCAAAAAGAGTCACTGAATTATTTTTTGAGCAGGTTAATTTGGATTCCCAAACCTTTTTTTCAGTCAAACCACTTGAGCTAAAATTATTTATTTGAAGTAGCCCCTGAGATTTCAAGTTAATATTTCACTTATTTAACAACACATTTGCATGTTCACAGTTCTCTAATGGAGCTTAATGGTCACATGATAAAGTATTTTATTTTAAAATTATTTAGTTACTTGAGTTTAATTTAAGATAAAATATTATTTTAAGATAAAAAAAATTTTTTTTTAATTTATTTAAAATATTTCATTGTTTTAGTAATCGTTTTATTCTTTTATTCAGTTTTTATCGTAATTTTGTAGTTACATTAATGTATATCAAATAAAAAGGAAAAAGACAATACATTATATTTTGTTTTCCATTTTAAAATGATTTATTTTATTTTAATTTATTTAAAATACTTCATATTTTTTGGTAATAAATTTAATTTGATGGTTTTCATTTTAAAATTATGTATTTATTTTCATTTTAATTTATTTCAGATAAAATATATAATCTTTTTATTTTATTTTGATTGATTTTATTTTAAAATTATTTCTTTTTTATTTGACTAATATTTCATATTATTCAGTTGTATTATTTTGATCGTTTTTATTTAAAAACAAATTATGTATTTATTAAAATTTTAATTTACTTCAGATACATAGTCTACATAAAAAAACAGTAAGAGTTTTATTTTGTTTTATTTAAAACCATCCCAAACATTTTTAATTTTTTAGTAACTGCTTACGTAATTGTAACCGTTTAAGAAACTAATTAATTGTTTTGTTTATTTTAATTTGTCAAATATTTAATACTATTTAATTGTATTGTTTTTATTTTACTTTATGTAAAATACACAATATTTTAGTAAGCGTTTTGCTTTGTTCTGATTTTAAAATGATTTATTTTATTTAAAAATGATTCCAAATATTTCATACACTTTTTTTTTTTGAGTTTATTTTAAATTATGTATTTATATATCATTGAGAGTTTCATTTTGATTGTTTAAAAATTATTTATTTCAATTTATATTAGCAACTGTTTTGATTGTTTTTATTTTTTAATTATGTATCTATTTCAAATGATTAGCTTCTCATATCCTCATGAACCCCCTGCAGTTCCCGATTTAAAAGAACCGATTCACGTTAGGGCTGCACGATTGTGACAAAAATCATAATTGTCGATTATTACCTTGAAATTGTAATTGCGATTATTAATTACGATTATCACAATTTACATTGAATGATGTTTACACTATTGTTTGATGCAACTGCATGCTGTATTTTTATATGAAAATAAACAAGCTGAAAACACTCTAACTGAAAAACCTTTAGTGCTTTTCTATAGTATTAAGCCTCAAATGTCAAATATACATCGGATTGGTTTCTTCTTTAAATTATAAAAAAAGTAAAAATATGAATGGTATTATAATGTTATACTAAAACTAAAACAATGGAAAAACCCTTAAGATAACATGTAGAAAGAAAAAAACATATCTTAAGAGTGCAGATAACATAAGTGGACTTTGAACGATTAATTGCCGCTTTGAATGATTACGTAATTATGGCATCCATAATTGTGATTAGAAAGTCGATTAATTGTGCAGCCCTAATTCACGTGAATGATTTTGGCTGAAATAAGAGAGAGCGTTCACCTCGTAGCTGTGCTCATCAGCACACAGTTTGCCCAGAGAGATCTGGGTCTTGACCCGGCGGACGGCGCACTCTTTATCGGACAGGCCGTCGGACTGCGTGGAGATGTCGATGGGGATCTCAGGCGTGTGGGACAGGAGCTCGTCCAGATGCTCCTCCTGACTGGCGCTGAGCTGCTCCAGCGGGCCGCTGTGCGAGTGATCGCTGGTGTTTCCCTCCTCGCCGTCAGACACCGACAGGTTCTCCGAGCTGAAGGTGGAGTACGACTGGAAGCTGCTCATGCAGCGATGAGGCCTGGAAACATTGCAGGAGGAAAACGACATTTGTGATTTGTAAGTCGCTGGGGTATATTTGTAGCAATAGCCAAAAATACATTGTATGGGTCAAAATTATTGATTTTTCTTTTATGCCAAAAATCATTAGGATATTAAGTAAAGATCATGTTCCATGAAGATATTTTGTAAATTTCCTACCGTAAATATATCAAAACTTAATTTTTGATTAGTATTATGCATTGCTAAGAACTTCATTTGGACAACTTTAAAGATGATTTTCTCAATATTTAGATTTTTTTGCACCCTCAGATTCCAGATTTTCAAATAGTTGTATCTCTGCCTAATATTGTCCGATCCTAACAAACCATACATCAATGGAAAGCTTATTTATTCAGCTTCGAGATGATTTATAAATCTCCATTTCGAAAAAATTGGACTTTTAAAAAAGGACTTGTTCTGTGGCTAATGGTAAAGAAACACAGGTTTAAAGATTACATGATTAATTTGAGGCTTCTGGGGAATCGTGACAGAAATGATTAATTATCAATCATCAAAGCAGACTCACCGCTGTCTGCGTGGAAACTCCACCTCGCTGTCAACCTCTCCTTCCTCTTCCTCAGACGACTCGTCTCCCGCCTGACGGACACATACAACAGAGCATATGTTAAAATCACATACACAAATAAAACACCTGGATCATATGCAGAACAGTTTCATATCCCCATCATACGTGTCTGATTATATTGAATAAATTACTAAACTATTTTTTTTAAATATAGAAATTAACACTTTTATTCAGCAAGAATGCATTAAATTGGTCAAAGGTGACAGTAAAACCTTGCATGCATGTCAACCTGATGTTGGGGACTCCCAAAACCAAAATATGAACCTTTCATCATTACCCATAATAGGGGCGTTTTAATGCAAGTGCCATTCAGACTCACTTTTCTCAGGGGTCTGAGCGAGTGCAGCAGGCCGCTGGATCTCTGCTCCGGCTGCTCTCCCGTTGCTTCTCCCTCGGCCGTGGGCTCCATCGCTGTCTTGCCGGCGGGCGGCGTTTCTTCGCACGTGCTCAGCAGTGAGTAATGCGGGAGCTCGGGGTGGCTGGGAGCGGCCGGCGTCACCTGACAGTGCATGCAGCCGGGGAACGGATGCACCTGGCAGCAGGCACCGGAGCCCGTGGACGGAGGGACGGAGGACCTGCGGTGGCATGAATCGGCATCCACGGCGGTGGAAATGAGGTCGGGGCTGGAGCCGGACAGCCTCCGCTGCAGGTGGTCGGTCTGCGGGCTGCGGAGAGCGGCGGCCGGGCCGAAGTAGCGCAGGTTGTTAGCGCAGGTGGCTACGGCGTTTTCGCGGCTCTTCACCGGTAACAGCGGACCCTCGGGCCGAGGGGGATGATGGTGATGGTAGCTTTGCTCCTGCAGGGTTCGCACAAATTTTTCCCAATAAATTTATATTATATTGACTTTTGAGACAATATTCATGACCCAATGTTTATTTTACAATAAGATTAAAAAATCTGTTCAAATTTATCATAGCGAATGTTAACTAAAATAAATGACTATTAATGCTAGCCTATATGTTTGCTTTCTATTTGTGTTAATAAGTACAAGCTGCAACTACGCCAGATGTTACTTCATGCAGAGAACATGTGTGAGTCTGGACCACAAAACCAGTCATAAGGGTCATTTTTTTGAAATTGAGATTTATGCATCATCTGAAAGCTGAATAAATAATCTTTCCATTGATGTATGGTTTGTTAGGATAGGATAATATTTGGCCGAGATACAACTATTTGAAAATCTGGAATCTGAGGGTGCAAATAAATAAAAATATTGAGAAAAGAGCCTTTAAAGTTGTCCAAATTAAGTTCTTAGCAATGCATATTACTAATCAAAAATTACGTTTTGATATATTTACAGCAGGAAATTTACAAAATATCTTCATGGAATATTAATCTTTCCTTAATATCCTAATGATTTTTGGCATAAAAGAAAAATCAATAATTTTGACCCATACAATGTATTTTTGGCTATTGCTACAAATATACCCCAGCGACTTAAGACTGCTTTTGTGCTCCAGGGTCACAAATCATCACATCACTGAATATTGTAATTTGTTTAACCAATATTACCAGTTGAACTCAGGACCTGAATTTCGTTTTGGAAACCGTCTCGGTCTATAGTATTCAAGTACAAAAATATAAAAAAATGGAATAAACTGTAAATTAAAAACAGATTAAACAACAGACGGCACAGCTTTAGGCTGCTGTCACAAGACAATGTATGGATCCAATACTGATGCGTTTTCTTTCTCAACTGTTTACATTCACTTAAGACAAAACCGACAGTGTTTACGAGGATAGAAACGCCAGAACGGCAATTTTGACGTCATTTTGTGTGTATTTGGCTGCTTAAATGCAACAAACTATGAAAAATAACTAATTATATGATACTCATGAAGACGCGGTAGTAGGGCTGTCAAAATGGCTGAAAAACTAAATTCGATTTTTGTACTTAAATATTATCAATATTCGAATTATATTCGAAATTAAATGGCATAATTTCAGTTAGGGGGAAAAAGCTTTTGGCTTCTCTCCTGAGGCCACAAGAGGGCACATCAAGGGAAATATTAATAATGCATGTTTCTTCAAAGCAATAAAATAACATGACTATCTTTGAAAAAAGTGCATAACGTTTAAAATAATGTTTATAAACCATATATAATTAAGTTGCTTAAACAATTAGAAACAGCATCATGTATGTATGTATAGTTTAATGCAAAGGACTGAAAACCAATCACAAAGAGTACTTTTTCATTTAAAAACATGAGATGCAGTGGGATGGGGAAAAACCGCCATATATTCTCGAGACATGTTTTTTAAAAGTTGGACTTGCATTAATTTTACATAGCTTTCTAAACATGCGGCTCTCTTGTGCGAGACGCGAGTGTAACGCTGATAGATGTCCCTCTAGAAAAAGCGATAAATATGCGTTCTGTGTGAACGGCTTGGTTTCAGTTTTGCCGTAAACAGCATCTTAACCGCATTGATGTTCTCTTTTTCCGCAATATTTTGAATAAACAATGCAGCAGCGCCGCATCTAGTGGCTTCAACTGGATAGGCTAACAAAAGCATTAAAATGCAACGACACTTACATCGTCATTGCATCTTGTGCGCCGCTGATAAGGCTGCCTGATGCACAGCTAAAATTTGAATGCAGCGTTTTTGCATTTGAATGTGGATTTTTATTTTAAATTAAACTAATATTCGAAATTTGATTTTTTTTTTTTGGACAGCCCTACACCGTACAGCTGCATCACTCACACGGTTTTCAAATGACTGATTTAATCTGACAGTCTGTGTGGATTTATTTTATTTTATCATCTGATCTACACGTTATACTGAATAAATGTGACCCTGGAGCACAAAAGCAGTCTTAAGTCGCTGGGGTATATTTGTAGCAATAGCCAAAAATACATTGAGAGTCAAAATTATTGATTTTTCTTTTATGCCAAAAATCATTAGGATATTAAGTAAAGATCATGTTCCATGAAGATATTTAGTAAATTTCCTACTGTAAATATATTAAAACTTAATTTTTGATTAGTAATATGCATTGCTAAGAACTTAATTTGGACAACTTTAAAGGTGATTTTCTCAATATTTTGATTTTTTTGCACCCTCAGATTCCAGATTTTCAAATATTGTCCTATCCTAACAAACCATACATCAATGGAAAGCTTATTTATTCACCTTTCAGATAATGTATAAATCTCAATTTCGAAAAATTGACCCTTATGACTGGTTTTGTGGTCCAGGGTCACAAATGTGTGCAGGAATTTCCCTCATTTTAAACTCAAAAGCTTCGGGAATGAGTAAAACTATGCGATATATGCGCAATCCCACTCCGAAATTCAGGACCGGATTAAACATTCTGTTATACAGAGATTTGTGAAATACATTTCCATGACTTTTCCAAAACCTTCTGGGTTTATTTATTTTCCCAAAACCTTTCCAGGCCTGGAAATCGCCGTTTTAAAATTCCATGACTTTTCCAGGTTTTTCATGACCGTACGAACCCTGTCCTGTAGGGGCTGCTGTTCCTCCGACGGGGCCGAGTTGGGTTTGAGGGCTCCTGGGAACTCGTTGTGACTGCCTTTGCTGTTGGCCCTCCGGTGGCGGGGTTTACTGCGGTACCGGGTTTTCCCAGGCGGGGTGGACACTTTTGGGCTTCCTGACAACGGGGACGGTGCCGGAAGAGGCTCGACGCTGGGAATGCCCTCGGAGCGCAGCAGATCCGGCCTGCAGGAGATCACATGCACTGGGTTAATGACCTCATGAAGAATTCATCACGGATACCATTTCATTCAGCACAGTATCATTGACTTTAACTACAAATTATCCATCCGTGTTTCCATATTCATGGAAAATAATCACACATTGACAAAAAATTACATATCAAGATACTGTATACTATTTAAAACAATAAAAATACAATAATAGAAAGTAAATGACGTTTCTAGAACATTACGTTCATCACGTTGTTCAGTAAAACCCTTTTTCTTGACAAATGATAAACCATTCCCAGACTTTTTTTGTCAGCCAAACCCATCTGACCTACAATATTTACTTGAAGTCCCCCTTAGATTTTAAGCTAATATGTCAGTAATTTATCAACACATTCGCATTTGTTTTTGATTGTTTTTTTAATTTTAAAAATATTTGTATGTTTTTTTTATTATTCTAAATAATTATTTTTATTATTGATATTTATTATTTTGAAATAATTATTAGTGTATTTATTACTTCAACTTATTTTTTCAATAAATCTTTTTATTATTTATATTATAATTAAATATATTTTTGTTTTAATTAATTTATACTTTATACTTTATTTGCTTTTCATTTAAAAATTATTTTAATATTAGATTTTTATAACTTTATTCTTGATATTTGTTATTTTTAATAAATTATTAGTTTACTTATTTTAATAACTTATTTTTCTTTTTAATTGCTTTCATTAATTAATATGAATGAATATTAATATTACTAATAATTAATTTGAAATAACTTTCATTTTTATTATTTGCCTTTTATTTTAAAATGAGTTTATGTATTTTAATAATTAGTTTATTACTGAAATGTATAATTTAATACATTATTAAATAATTAATTTTAATAATTTTAACAACTATCTTTTCATTTTTGAAGAAAAAAAGAAGTTATTTTTAAATAATTTTGTTATTATTTATATGATTTATTATTTCAATTAATTATTAATTTGTTTGAAATATAATAAATGTTTAATTCATTGCTAGCCTTTCATCAACTCACAAACCCCCTGCAGTTCCCTCATTTTGTGAATCCCTTGGTTAAACTATTAAATATATTATGATACAGACACCACAAACAGCACATAGGCCATGTCTTCACGGATCGCTCACCTCTTTGGCTGCTGTGTCCTGGGCTTATGGTTCATGCTGCTCTTTTTCTTAATGAGCTTCTCTACAGCATGGGGCCGCACAATGGGCCGAACCAGGTGGCGTTTGTACGTGCCGGGATGCTTCTTCTCCACAGCCTGCTCCCTCCTGCAATAAAACATGGGAAACGTTCAGATTCAGTAAAAGCAGAAGTGAGATTTGACTGAATGATCGTTGTGTGCTCATTCAGTGAGAATGTGGGTCATGCAAACGGCACGAGCCGGGTCCAGCTTTAAGCAGATTAGATTTAATTCGAGTTTCAGAGAGACGTCTGCATCATTCAGGCACAGACAGGGTCAGAGTTCAGACTCATTACATCCTTTCATGAGTAATTTGCCAATAAACAGACAAACTCGAGAGAGAGATGCACACAGCATAATCGGCATCAGAAAAGCGATTTCTGCAGTATAAAGTATGATTACTGTGCACATTATGCATGAAATACCCAGCTGACCCTCCTACATTTCCAGTGTAATGAATGAACTGAAAGTACTCTATTTTAAAATCTCTTACTTGACTCATTATTGGATTAGACTGCCAGAAGTAATTCACGCAAAATTCGATACAATGCAAACTGAATGACCGTACTTATTTATGAGATTATAGTAACTAGTGTCTTGATCCTAGTTTCCTGACTTGCATGAACGTGCTAAGACTAATGGTGTGTTCACACCAGACGCGAAGCGAATATGCGCATCGCGTCACTCGCTCTAGATTACTCGCGGGATGTTTTTCGTGTCACTCGCGTGAATAAAAACAGCGCGATCAACCATGCTGGAGATAACTACAATCTCTGTTTTGTACCTGTTGTCAAAAAGTCCCAAATACAATGGAAAGCCAAACGCCGACGTGTCTGGGTTCACAGCACCATCCAGAGGAGGATGAATAACGTTAGGATCCTGCATTAATGTGTGTGTTACATTTTACTACTGTATATATACACTGATATTACTATTATTTTTATTATTGATAGCAGCATCTCTGTAGCCATGCTAATAAAATACAACTACCACTACAACTGATTTTAATTGTTTTCTATGCTCCAGACCAATATAATAACAGCGGCTACAATAATGCTCTCTTCTATTGTCTGATTCAACTGGACGTGTCAAGAAACTCTTCGCTGATTGGCTTGCGCGAGAACGCGTCCTGCGAATTTTCCACTCGAGTTGAAATTTTTGAACTTGCGTGGAAGACGCGATTGAGGCGAATATCGTGCGTTCGCGGCAAACGCGTCGCGAATTTGCCTCTATTCACGTCTTTGCGTTGACTTTGTATGTAATCTACTCGCGCGAATAATTACATTCGCGTCTGGTGTGAACACACTGTTAGATATTTAAACTTTAAAAATAATAAAAGTGCATTAGTTTGATTCATTTTTGTGAATCAGTTCAGTTTGTTTTGAATCAGTTTGAAATTATTTAATTAATTCAAATCATCACTCAAATATGGCACTTTTCAACATTAGTCAAATATCTGTAGGTAAATATTTAATATACTGTATTTCGAACAAACTTGACTACAATGATCAGTTGGTTTGATATGGAAGCACAGAATGAAAAAAAATGAAAGTAACTGTGACATTTTATCTCACAATTCTGAGTTTACATCTCTCAATTAGGTTCTCACCCTGAGATTTTAAGTAAATATGTGACCCTGGACCACAAAACCAGTCATAAGGGTCAATTTTTCAAAATTGAGATTTATACATCATCTGAAAGCTGAATAAATATGCTTTCCATTGATGTATGGTCTGTTAGGATCGGATGATATTTGGCCGAGATGCAACTATTTGAAAATCTGGAATCTCAAAAAATCTAAATATTGAGAAAATCATCTTTAAAGTTGTCCAAATGAAGTTCTTAGCAATGCATATTACTAATCAAAAATTAAGTTTTTATATATTTACAGTAGGAAATGTACTAAATATCTTCATGGAACATGATCTTTACTTAATATCCTAACGATTTTTGGCATAAAAGAAAAATCAATAATTTTGACCCATACAATGTATTTTTGGCTATTGCTACAAATATACCCCAGCGACTTAAGACTGCTTTTGTGGTCCAGGGTCACATATTTCAATCATTTAAAAATACACTTGCATGTTCATGGTTCTCTGATGTCGGCTAATGCCCACATAAGGCAGTTAAACGAATATAATTTTTAATATAGTTTTTGTGTTTTATTTTATTTAGTGTTTTTATTTTAGAATTATTATTATTACAACAAATATTTTTAATTACTTTATTACTTAATTTATTTAATTAATTTGCTTCTTTTGCAAAGCATGAAGGACTTACTTGAGCAGCTCTTTCTCTCGCACCTCCAGCTGCAGCATGATAGCGCTGAGCTCCATGTACAGGTTGTTAGCTCGCTCCAGTTTCCTCTCGTAATGCTCTCGGATATCCAGAGCGTGTCTGAAACGCACGAGACCGTGAGACAGCACATAACAGACAGTCCCGCTCTGTGTTCTGCTTTTGTGTGCGATTCGTCTGCTCTCACCTGAGTTCGTCTCTTCTGCGGCGAATCAGCTCCTCGTCCAGTCGGTGGATGCAGGTGCCTTCGCTTTTGATCTTCTCGAAATGCTTCTTCACTTCCTCTCTCCACTCCGCCTGCCACAGACAAGATTGTTAGGGTGAATTAAAATGGTAACACTTTAGTTTGGGGACAAATAAGCATGAATAGTAGCATATTGGCAGTTTATTAGTACTTATAAAGCACATATTAATGCCTTATTCTGCATGACCATATTTTCCTAAACTTAATAACTACTTTACTAACTATTAATAAGCAGCAAATTAGGAGTTTGAGGCAAAAGTTGTAGTTAATAGTGAGAATTGGTCCCCGAACTAAAGTGTGACCATTAAAAGAATTTAATGTTTTTGGTAATTGAAAAAAGCTAAAATAAATTAAAATATAAATATTAAATAAAAAACTTAAAATTAGAAATGTTGACTTAGCAACTAGCTGATATAAAATTCTAACTAAAACTGAAATAAAAATAAATTCAAGTTAAATAGAAATATAAAAAATGCGAAAACTATTAAAAATGACAAATACGACAAAAAAGATAAAAAAGCATTCAAATTAATTACTAAAAGAATTATAAATATTTATAAATAGTATTTAAATAATCCTAAAATAACACTAGTCGCACACAAACATACACATGAAATCAATGGATGGAAATCATTAATCAAAACAATTCTGGTTTTACTTTCAACAATTAACATCCCATAATGGTTTAATTAACTCTTTTAGATGAATCAAACAAGCAACTCATAAAATTTGAGGCTGATTTGTGATTCTTTTTGACAGATACATTACAGAACCAAGTCAAAAGAGTCGTTTGTTCATGAACCACACTACAGTTTTCATGCTGCATGTTCGTTGAATGCAATTTGCAATTTTATTTTAGCGATGTAGTTCTTATTTATAGAACTATTAGAGAACTGAGAAACAATTGGATAAGTGGTTCATGTTGCTTTTGCATTTCTTTCGTTCTGTAGTGATGCCACTGGACGACACAGTGACTCTTTCTGGATGAGACTCAGCAGAAGTCAGTGTAGAAGTCAACATTTGCTCACCTGAGATTTGAAGTAGGTCTCCTGTGGCGTCCCGAGCACATCAGCCGAGGCGATATCCAGATGGAGAAGGATCTGCCTGAAGGATGGCCGGTTTCTGGGTTTACCTTGCCTGCAGGTACAAGAAGAACACCATCTCAATCGACCAATAAAACCCTGTTTTAGAGAACTCTTGGAAATCCTGGATTCTGATTGGCCAATCACAGCATTCTGCGGTCAAAAATCTACCTGGCAACTACCAAAAACATCCTAGCAAAGACACCGAATGGCCTTAAAACCTTCGAGCTTTTAGAACTATTTTCAATTTTACATTTCAAGTGTTTTCAACAATTTTAAACTTTTGGCCATAAAGTACTTTCTCAAGCCAAACATTTTTAATCTAGTTTTAAAATTGACTTGTACACGGTTTAATTTGTATCACTTCATGCTCTTTTTGTGTTTTCCCTCACATAGTATAAAAATAAATTCAAATCAATATTTCTTGTACATTATTCCTTTCATATGTGTAGCTTTATTCCACAAACAATAACAATGTTCTTCCATTATAAATACAGCACAAAAGCATGTAATTGTTGTAGACAGCGCTGGGTAGATTACTAATAAATTGTAGTCCACTACTGATTACAGATTACATGGTGAAAACTGTAGTTCGTAACATAATCTAGGTAATGTATTCTGACTACTTCAGATTACTTGTGTGAATACTATGTAATCCAAAAAAAGTAACTGTAATCTGATTAGGAGCATTTTAAAATGTAATATACTCTAATTACAAGTACATCATTTTTGGAATCTGATTATGTAATCCAGATTGCATGTAATTAGCAGTAACTAGCCAGCATTGGATGTAGATGGTGCTGAGTCTCACCAGGTTTGTTTCATGAGGATCTTGAAGCCGTCAGGACAGGTGGACGGCACAGGCAGATGGAGGCTGTTACTGCCCACACCCCAAATAATAGCAGACGAGTCCACGTCCTTATAGGGGATCTCACCGGTCAGCAGCTCCCACATCACCACCCCGAACGACCTCCAAACACACAACAATTAGCACTCACTGCTTACACTACTGCTCAAACGCTTGAGGTCGGTGAGAGTTTTTAATGCTTTTGAAAGTAGTCTCTTCTGCTCACCAAGGCTGCATTTATTTGTGACCCTGGACCACAAAACCAGTCATAAGGGTAAATTTTTCAAAATTGAGATTTATACATCATCTGAAAGCTGAATAAATAATCTTTCCATTGATGTATGGTTTGTTAGGATAGGACAATATTTGGCCGAGATACAACTATTTGAAAATCTGGAATCTGAGGATGCAAAAAAAAAATCTAAATATTGAGAAAATCATCTTTAAAGTTGTCCAAATGAAGTTCTTAGCAATGCATATTACTAATCAAAAATTAAGTTTTGATATATTTATGGTAGGAAATTTACAAAATATCTTAATGGAACATGATCTTTACTTAATATCCTCATGATTTTTGGCATAAAAGAAAAATCTATAATTTTGACCCATACAATGCATTTTTGGCTATTGCTACAAATATACCCCAGCGACTTAAGACTTGTTTTGTGATCCAGGGTCACATTTGATCAAAAATATTGTAACAGTGAAATATTATTACAATTTAAAATAACTTTTCTATGTGAAAACATTTTAAAAATGTAATTTATTTCTGTGATCAAAACTGTGATCAAAACTTTCAGCTTCATTTCTCCAGTCTTCAGGGTCACATGATCCTTCAGAAATCATTCTAATGTGCTGATTTGTTGCTCAAGAAACATTTGTGATTTTTATCAGTGTCACTGTATTAATTCACACTCACCAGATGTCTACTTTCTCTGACACCGGCTCATTCCGGATCACTTCCGGAGCCATCCAGGCCACCGTACCCGCAAATGACATCTTCGTACTCTTGTCACTGAGCTCTTTAGATGTTCCAAAGTCTGAGATCTTCACGTTGTCATTTTGAGTGACTAGCACACTGCAAAAGAAAGCACACACATTCAGAGAAGCAGAACGCATTGGTATTGCCCATTTACAGTATTTCCATATATACTACCTGGACCACAAAACAAGGGTCCATTTTTTGAAATTGAGATTTATACACCATCTCGAAGCTGAATATATAAGCTTTCCATTGATGTATGGTTTGTTATGATAGGACAATATTTGGTCGAGATACAACAATCTGAGTATCTGGAATCTGAGGGTGCAAAAAATACTAGTATCGGTATCGGGCCCAATACTGAGCTCTTGTACTCGTACTCGTTAAAATGCCCTGATACCAAACGCCGATA